GGACACGAGTATGCGGATAAGTCCCCGCAACGCATTCAACAGTGTCATCAGTCTCTCCCCGGGCTTGATCTTGCTTTCAGGACCTCACTTGCCAGTGTAGTACGGAAACGATATCGAGACGTCGGGCTTTTTAGGGACTCATGGTCTCCTTGAGCTTGCAGGCGTGGTACGAGCGAAATGCGAAGCATTGCTGGAAGAGCTAGAGCTCAGTATCTCAAGTCGTGAGACAGCATATAGAGTGGCGTACGTTCAGCTTAAGGTCTCCCAGCCGCTCGCGTATTCGTTTGCCCGAGAGGGCTCTGCTTGACTCCTTGACTGGGTCATCTGACAAGCAAGTTCAGTCAAGTCTAAGAGAAAAAGGGGAGGCAGCGCACCCGTCGTTGACTGCACTCGGCGTAAGAGAGAATGTCGCTCAAGGGGCCCTTGTCCGCTGCAAAAGCTGAGCTGGCCATCTCAAAAATGAACCCCTGCTTTGACTCCAGTCTTAGAGTCCGACATTACACAGCTAGCAAGATGACGACATGTTCAGCTTTCTCCCTGTTGATCACGTTTGTGAAGCTGGGCCCAGGTGGGTGGAGTGAAACGGACACACGAGAGAACATCCCCGCCGTCGGAGTGACGCGCAAGAGTAGGCCGCATGACAAGAACGGAAGAGCGAGGTTGGTAGGATACAAAGCTCGTTCGGTCAACTTGCGTAGATAGCATGCACGAGTCTGGCCAAATACGTGGCGCTAAACACCAAGCGTCATTTCCAACTTGTTCTCGCCCTCTTCCCCGCTCCTGCTCGCCATTCCCTCAGCCGTTCAGGATCTCCTCTGTTCTTCTGCTTCCCTTCCCAGCGCTGCCTCGCCTTTGAAATTTGAAAGAGCATCAGCCTTTCTCACTAATTATCCTGCTGGTGAGTTACCCCACGTCACCGATTTCCTGTCCCGTAATGATGGTGCTCACAGGAGGCCGAGCATGCCTCTAAACCGGCTCAGCCTGAACGTGAACGAGCCATTTGTCGGGGATGTAATTGGCGATCAGTGACTGGTGTGCGCTGTATGCACTCAGACATGTGGCGCAGGTCTGGGATCTCAATGAGGTGCGTAGTCCGTATGATCTTCCGTGAGCCTCGCTCATCGAGCTTCTGTCGCCTAGGTATGCCTCTTCAAGCTTCCGACTTCCAGCTCCATCGCCGAATGCCAGCGCCAAAGCATTCTACCGGCACTAGATGCCAGAGAAATATTCTTCCATGAAGGCACACTCTGGCTGCTCATCGCGCCTCTGCCGTCGTACACATTCGCGAGCCTAGGGCACAGGTTCGTGCCAAATTCCCAAGCACGTCGTGAGTTCACTGACCAGTGAAAATTTGCTCCTTTACCGTCACTGCGACCTTCTCGTACACGATGCAATCCGTTCTTTCTCGCTCCAGTCCCCGTACACACTCAGACGGTATCCCATGATGGAGCTCGTCATCGGCGTCGCGATGCCCAATAACAAGGCGGCCTCAAAACGGCGTAGGGGAGCAGGTAATAAAGACGGATCATCGAGAACACGCTTGCGAGGATACCCTCCATTCTCAAAAGATGCTAGCAAGAGCGCTCTACCGGCTTGCGGACGGACAGGCTGTAATAGTACGGAGTACCCAAGTATAATATCTTATTCTGCAATGACAACATATGCGCATAACCTTCCAGAGTGTTCTATCCATGGAACCGTGCGAGATATCTACTGAACGAGCACACGAACATAAGCCAGACTGTTATATATCATTCCTCGAAATCTCTCTTCGCCTTCGCCCACCTCTGGCATCACCGCTTCAGAACTTTTGACCTTGCGTACCGCTCACCCATCCACACCCTCTTCTAGTCTCTTCCTGACAGCGCTACAACCTTCTCCGTTTCGCCGATTCTCCACGTACGCGTTACGAGCCGCACGGCGCATGCGCGACGCGCCCTACTCGCGATGCTCGTGCACGCTGGGGGCCGCGGGTTCGCCACGGGGCGGGTTCTCTGCATGGTCGCCGGCACCGCGGTCGAGAAGCAGGCGCACGACCTCAGCATGTCCCTTCGCCTCCGCATGGTCCAGTGCACGTAATCCGTCGGTGTCCATGACTGTGATGTCTGCGCCGCTATCGAGGAGAACGCGGGCAACGTCGGCGTGCCCGTACAAGGCTGCGCTGAACAACGGGGTCCTTCCTTTCCGGTCCTCTGGGTCTCCCTGGCCTTGTTGTGCGGCATCATGCGGTGGTGTCCACCCGCGCTTTTCCTGTATGTCGACAGTTGCGCCGTGCTGGATAAGGACGCGCGCAATGTCGGCTTGACCATGGAATGCAGCGACATGGAGCGGGGTCGTGCCATCCTGATCCTGCGCGTCGACGGCTGCGTCGTGTTTGAAAAGAACGTGCACAATATCGACGTGGCCCTGGCGTGCAGCAGCATGCAGTGGTGTCCATCCGACCCGATTCCGCGCGTCGACAGCTGCGTGGTGCTCGAGAAGGGTCCGCGCGACGTCAACATGGCCGTTCTGTGCAGCAATGTACAGCGGTGTTGCACCGGCCTGTGTCCGCGCGTCGACAGCTGCGTGGTGCTCGAGAAGGGTGCGCGCGACGTCGACATGGCCGTTGTGTGCAACAATGTGTAGCGGTGTCCACCCGTCCTTTTTCTGCGCGTCGACAGCTGCGTGGTGCTCGAGAAGGGTGCGCGCGGCGTCGACATGGCCGCCCTGTGCAGCAATGTACAGCGGTGTTGCACCGGTCTG